GGTGTATGATGGGGGGTGTGTAATGGGGGGTGTATGATGGAGGGTGTATGATGGAGGGTGTATGATGGGGGTGTATGATGGGGGGTGTATGATGGAGGATGTATGATGGAGGTTGTATGATGGAGGGTGTATGATGGAGGTTGTAGGATGGAGGGTGTATGATGGAGGGTGTATGATGGAGGGTGCAGGGTGGAAGATGCAGGATGGAGGGTGTATGATGGAGGGTGTATGATGGGGGGTGTATGATGGAGGGTGTATGATGGAGGGTGTATGATGGTGTATGATGGAGGGTGTAGGATGGGGGGTGTGTGATGGAGGGTGTATGATGGAAGGTGTGTGATGGAGGGTGTATGATGGAGGTTGTATGATGGGGGGTGTATGATGGAGGTTGTATGATGGAGGGTGTATGATGGAGGTTGTATGATGGGGGGTGTATGATGGAGGGTGTATGATGGAGGGTGTATGATGGAGGGTGTGTGATGGTAGGTGTATATTGGAGGGTGTATGATGGAGGGTGTATGATGGATGGTGTATGATGGAGGGTGTATGACGGAGAGTGCAGTATGGATGGTGTATGTTGGAGGGAGCAGTATGGATGGTGTATGTTGGAGAGTGCAGTATGGATGGTGTATGAGGTAAGATGAGAACGGCGATACGACTGAATGTGATTGCTGGGACATGTCACTGCGGACATGACACAAAAAACCCATCAACCCAACCTGCAATCATGGCACCTCATTAACTGCCAGGCTATCAGGTGACAGAATCTCGATGTGGAGTCTGCAGGAAGATATTACCTTCACATAATACCAGGGGTGCTCTATAGCATTGTGAGACAAATTGTTATATTGGTACTTTCATGAGAGTTTTTCTAATAAAACAAGACTAGATCGAAAGGGAGGAAATATATTGCTGCATTTTCCTCGCGTCCTTTCGTATACTCTGCAGATGTGAACACACTTTGCTGCCTTATGCTAAAAATATAAACAATCACACAATTATTGATTTTGTGTTTCTGCATAAACTATTTATAATTTCGGTTTAATAAATAAATAAATAAATAAACATATATATATATATATATATATATATATATATATATATATATATATATATATGTGTGTGTGTGTGTGTGTGTGTGTGTCTGTGTCTGTGTCTGTGTATTCACTGTATTAATAATAAGATAGTTCATTATTTAATATTTAACCATATTTACGTTTTAATTTAAAATACACACGACTTAGTGAAACTGATTTTACCTAACTCTTACACTTTGTCTAACACAAAAACCATTTGAAAAAAGTTCTGCGACTCTACATTGTGGTTACTTAATGAGTGCCACATCTCACCACCTACCACACAGTTCTGCGACTCTACGGTGTAGCTGATGAGTACCACATTTCGCCGCCTACAACAGCACCAACCTGCAACCTTTGCATGAATAATCCACCAGCTATTTCCCTTCCTACCATGACTTTTCCTTGACATTTATACTCGGCTAGAACACCCCCCTCCCCCCGAATTTTCTTTAAATTAATGTTTTACTGCTATTGAAATGTAAATCGTCCACTACGGAATGTTGAGGTTGCATTATTTGAAATGTTATTTAGACAAAATATAACTACGGCCACTTCTGTTATACGACTATTATTTGTAGGCCTGTAAAAAATATTAGGTGGGTGGGGGTGAAAGCCTATCGCAGCGAATATAGTTGGCTACCATGCTTGTTTAGCGTCTGCGAGCCAGGTAATTATATTTTATCGTTTTACCTTTTTGTTTTATTTTTTACGTTGTGTACTTAATGCATAAAAAAGGGGAATAATCAAACAAGCGCATGTTTAAACAATCTTAGCAATACTGTATTTTCTGGGTAGTGTCCCTGGAAAATCAGGTTCGATAATTTCAGACTGCTGTGAGAGAAAAACTATCAACGAATAAATGGGAATCCCAACTATCAAACTGCAGCGCCTTATGTACAACGAATGATGAGTACACTTACATAAAAAATGTTCCTCAAAATCAGAAAGAAAATACCTTTTTTTCAAAAAGAATTTTGAACATTCTTTAATTACAATAATATAAATACAACTTTAAACTTTAATCTCCATTGTACGGTCTCTTTAGGTCTATTATCTTACCCAGCGTGTACCTAGGTGTGACAATGTCGCTTTACACAATTACGGCCTGTCCCATTCTGGTGGTGAGGTGGGGGGGGGGGGGGATAACCAACTCAGATTCAACATAGCGTAAGTTTTTAGATGACTGTTCTAAACATACATGTACAATTATACATATATATTAATACATAAATAGATTTAAATAAGTAACAGTGGTATTATGACAATACATTTTTTTACAGAGGGGTCCATTGTGGGTGTAACCCCCATAACACCCCCCCCCCTGCCTAAGCCACTGGGTCGAGTCGGTAAAGCTCATGGTTAATAAACTATGAAGTCCAGAGTTCGGAACCCTGGCAGATAAACAACTGCTGCCTTGTAGTTTGTTCTTGGATGGACTAATACAGCAACAAAAAATGGGGAAAGAAATACAGAAAGAGAAGAACAAAGATTAGATGGATAGTAAAATTTAGTCAACCTCTGTAAGATTTAGTCAGTCTGACTAACACTAGTATCAAGCCAGTGATAGGATTTAGTCAAACAGCAGCATTGATTCAGTTTCTATCGGAACCACGGCGTCGGTTGTACTCCCGACTCACACATCACTGAACCACAAAGTAACCCGTACAACACAAAACATCTACATCGCTAGTGTATCATTTGCCTTCACATTACGTTTACCCAAAGTCTTGAAAATATAAGGGCAACCGAAGTCTTTAAAAATGTATGGGCAACAAAAGTGGTATAAAATTTATTTCCCTGCCTTTTCGAATAAAAGCCGAGAGATCAAAGATGAGATATTTTAAACCCTAACTGGGAATGGCAGTTATAGACCTTGGTGAATGTATGCCGCGTCATTTATTTTACTTTCTCCCACTAAAAGATAGTTAACATAATTTACGTTAATTATAAAAAAAAAGTTCTATTCCATTTAAAAATAAATAAATTGAAATGCTTTGATCAAGATTATAAAATAGTTTTAATTGAAAAAGTACTAAATGCTAAAGAATGGGGAGGTGGTGGGGTGGATGTTGTTATACTGTAATTTCTGCCAGGGGTACTTTTTATGTGTAGGTGAATGTAAAGTACATGTACTTCAACGTTGAGTGAAATTCCAGAGGAACATGTTGAACAGTGTTTGAACTTGACACAAAGGGAATGAACTCTTAAGATTTTGAAACTTTAGAGGAAAAGGGAAAACTAGTCAAGAATCTGGATAACAAAACGATCTAATATAAGCAGGGGCGGAACTACCATGTCGCCAGGCCCCGCAATGCGGGGGAGGGGCAGGACGTTTAGGGGCCCAATTCTGACCACAAGAAAAGCAATGAATTTTTATTTCATAAATATTGTTTTTCGTTCACCTTGATAGTGGTTTTGTAAAAAAAAAAAAAACAGGTCTACTATAGCAGTGATTGTTCTACAGTAACTACCATACACTGTTGCGTAGAAAAATATAAAATCTAAAAGAGTTGTAGTTTGAACGATAGGTAAAAAAGATTCACACTACTTCCATGACTTACTGCCCTCTTTTAAAATAGGAGTGCCCATAAATCTCATTTAAATACTTTTGTACAATGTAAATTAAAAAGCTATTGATTCTCATAATTATTATTTAAATAAGACATGCCAAAGAATCGTTTAGCAATAATAATAAATGTATTCAAAATTAATAATATAAATACAAAAATCTTAAAAATAAACATAACGCGAGCAACCATTGCACAAATCAAGCTTACTTGTTTATATTATTTTGACCAACTTGCGATAACGAAAGTAATATTTTTTTCAATGTTTGGTAAGCATGAATGGCAAAAAAGCATTTATAAAACACGATAATTTCAGGCTATAAATGAGTTTGGACTTATTTTTGTCTGGATTATTGACTCAGGATGGTTATACTTAGCACTGAATAAGGTTACTCAATTAAGAAATAGATTATTATAATATGCGAGCCGACCCGCGGCGTATCATACGCCGCTATTTTGTTGTTTTATTTTCTACTTTTCAGTAATTCATAATTTGTGAATTCGACAGTAACACTGCTGTCAACGAAAATATTTGCTTTAAAACACTATCAGTAAGTCGTTAAGGACGATAACCCCCTCACCCTCCTTTCCCCCAACTCTTACCCCCCCATAAAAGCAGCCTCCTCTTAGCTACCTCCCCTAAGTTTAAAATCGTTTCAAACTACATATTCTGCCCTTAATAGCCGTCACTAAACCCGGCTCTATAATTGTAAACATTTAGCGTGAACACAGCTCACCAGACTTTCTAGAGAGGAAGAGAGGGGACTGCAAGGCGTACTTACAGCTTATTTTCTAACGTCTCCAAGAATATATATATATATATATATATATATATATATATATATATATATATATATATATATATATATATATATATATATTAGGGGGGTCCAAAAACTTTTTGCGGGGGAGCTTTTTTTTCTAGTTCCGCCACTGAATATCAGGTAAAGCAACAAAAACCCACCCCACACCAATGAAATAAAAGGATCAGTTCTGCAAAAAATTGAAGTGTCCAAAAGCGTACGCAAGATTTGTTAGCTTTGGCCTGACTGCTGGGGCTTGGGTTAGACTGCTGTTTACCAGATTTCTATAATGAGTTATTTGCCGGTGGAATTTGGTTCGTTCATATTGTAGCAGGACAGACATTCAAATCCCCGGGGTTAGCTTTATCCAGTCAACGTATCCAGTAGAAGACTCGCTATCCACAGTAGACGTAACACTCAACTCTCGACGCCACGCCAGCTTCGCGCATGCGCAGACCAAATCTGCAAGAGAAGCACCAGCACGACTTGGCAACAGCAACGACCCCCCCCCCTACCACTGCACTACCCTCACCCTTTCGGCCTTTTCCTACCTGGATCTGTGATTTGCGGGCTCCCACCTCTTTCCCTCCCCCCGCCTCTAGAGTGCTAGCGCAGCACAATCTGAGGCATACGATTTCTTTTGGAACTATTTTTCGAGGTGTGTACATCAATTATTAATTTGACTGTAGGAACCGAAAAGAAAATAGAAAATTAGGAACAGAAATTTAGAAAGTTAAACCAGGATCGAGTTCCCGGCACCAAATTTTTCACCTTTAGAAGTGTCGTCTGCAAGACATTTTGAAAGATGTCCAAACTGGTGAGTACACCATTATAAATGCACGTGCACCAACTACACCATTGTGGGTTTTATTTTAATTAATATTATTAACACTTTATTCCTTCTTTTCTTTAAAGGTTAAATTAGCTAGCCAATTCATAATTAATGTATTGATTATATTTCAAAATCTCGACAAATTTCAGAATAATTTTAAGTAATTCAAGTCTAAAAATCTCCTCGGTTTAAAATGTCTGGCGTCACAGAAGTGCTAGATCCATCCACCACGCCCTGAGATTTAGACTTCGTGTCGCTACCTTTTTAAGCGCGTGAAAGCAAGTCACTTCCGCCTCTAATCCAGAATTAGGAGGTCTTGCTAATTACCTTGTAAATCTACCTGGTCTGTTATCATTAATTATTCGGGTGGATTAGGTTTCGAAGTGAGCTTTAACGAGGGATTTTCGCGTTAAAATTAAAAGCTTGCGTGAAGCGACAGAACGGGTTAGGGTTAGATTGTATTGGTTTTATAAATTGAGAGATCAACGAACCTAAATGAACTGTTTTTCGAAAACTCTTACAATAAGTAATATAATTGTAAGCTTTCTTCAAACATGCATTTTTTCAGGCAAAAGTGTGGCGTGAGAGACAATAAGCCAAATATTTAAAACCATAAATCTACAACAGAATTACCTTAATCGTTCAGTTTTATAATTTAAAAAAAAAACTTATGCTCAGTCTGTTACTAAATAATCTAAATTGGTTAAAATATTAAATCGTATGTATAACCTTAAATTCTAAAAATAATAATTACTATTTTGTGTCAGACAACCAATGGTGTTATATATATATGTGTTTCACTCATCTGTTCTTTTTAAACACAAAAACAAAATATAAAAGTTTTTGGTCTTCGCTTCAAACAAAAGCACTCGAGCATGTACATTTCCCGTTCTAAGCTGCAAGATTTTTGGTGTAGGATGTAGATCTATTAGTTTAGAATTTCTACTTTTAAATCATTTTTTAAACATTGTAAAAAAATATGCAAATGTCTGCATATTTCCGTGATGAGCAAAATGGCATATTTAGATCTCACCTTGGCACCACGCAGGTGAGAACTAAAGCATTTAAAAAATCGTGAGCAGTTTTTTTTCTCTTTGAAACAGCGCGTCACAGTGCAAATAAGTGCGCGCTATATTTTTCAGGAAGTGCAGGCCCCGTCCGGGACTGAAACCGGATGGGAGGGGGAACTAGTATGGTAACGGTTCAAATAGGCTAAACAATAAAAAGAAAAACGCTACGGTTGCGAAACAATAGTCATCGAGCAAAGGGCGTTAACTCGCATATTTCTGAGACTGTTGGGAAACTGCTTTGGAATTCCACTCGAACTGCGTTTATACTTAATATGTGTACATTTATTATGCAAAATAACTTCTTCGCAAAAACTGGATTAGATTTGGATTATTTTAAAAACATTTCTTTCTTCGAAATAAGTATAATTTATTAAATGTCATAAAATATCAAATGGTGACCCAAAAACATACCCCCACCCCCTCACTGCACCCTAACCTCCCCAACAGCAACAGTAGAGAAGTATTTGGAGGCCAAGGTTCATACCACGACTCGCAAAGTGACGTCATGGCGCTGCCCTAAATAAAAAACTAGGGACCACGTGACTTCAATATCTCCACATCTGCAGACAATGAATCAGGCCAAATGCCATTGACGTATTTTTCTACGTCTTTTTTTTTTTAACAAAGGCACTCGGTTCAATACTTTGACTGCATGTCGTGTGCGCAACACACTACTCGCACATCAAGTTTAAAATCTGTTGCTTCAACGTCTGCTTCTAGTATTTCTTTGAATTTCGAGTCTGACGAAGTCGTCTTTGTGAAACATTTTTAAAAGGCTCGATTATAGGGGAGCTAACCATTGTTAAAACCATGGATTGAAGATTATTAGTACATGGTTTATTACAACTTTATTGAATGCAGGTTGGTTAGATTAGTTTCACATGGTTTATTACAACTTTACAGAGGCGTAGCGAGGAGGGGGCGGAGGTAGCGGACCGCACCGGTTGACACCATTTAGGGGGGGGGGGGGGGGTGACACCAAGGCAAAAATAGTAAAATATATAGAGAAAAATTTTAGGGGGGGGGGGTGCAAATCGAAAGTTTGAGGGGGGGGGGATAAAAAATTGAAAATTTGTCCCCGGGAAGAGTCGCTACGCCTCTGGGGGGGGGGGGGGGGTGACACCATTAAGTGCCGCACCGGGTAACACAACCTCGCTACGCCACTGCAATTTAATTGAATGAAGGTTGGTTAGATTAGTTTTAAGTGGTTGATTACAACCAAATTGAATGAAGATGGTGGATATGTTAAGTATGGGATTATTACATATCACTTACATGTAGGTTTATTGTTTTTGTGGCAGTATAAGGAAGGATAACAGCAGACCTGATGTGTAGGTCTAGAGCTGACATAACGGGTACACATTAACTTTCAGTTTCCCATAACAAATAGGCCTACAACCAAAACATCCAGGTGACGCCAACGTTTGAGTTGAGTTTCGCTCACTGAAAGACCTTTAGGGTCGTCGTTCTGCGCATGCGCTTGGCGGGGTAAACAAAAACATTTGTGTGTGACAAATCCGAGAAAAGGTCAAGATGGACGACATCTTAGTCAGGCCTGTTGTTTATCTACTTTTGTTCATAGTCATACCTCCACCCTGACTTTCTTCTTCTTCTTCTTTGGTGGTTGGGTGGGGCTAATGAGTTGTGTAGAGGGGGGTGGGGGGGGGGGGGAATGAGGATACTATAATTCAAAGGGTAGCCAAATCTTAAACTCTGAAAATCGCCGCAAGAAAAATGTTGTTTATGTGTATTTTTTAAGTTGGAGAAACAAAATACGTTTTAAATTAATCGTATCAAGTCCGAAGTAATCTTTTATCAGCGGTTGTGTATAAAGGTTGACACATAACATGAACCAACAGCAATTAGTGTAGATTTTCTATACCAGTAATGTATATCCTCTGTAAAATTATTGCGTCTCAAACACCTCTGGTCCAGTGGCGTAGCTATCGTAAAGCTAGCGTAAGCAAGGCATAGGGGCCCAAGGGTGGGTGGGGGGTGCAAATCGAAAATCTGAGGGGGGGGGGGTGCAAATCGAAAGTTTGTCCCCGGTCGCAGGGAAGGGTCGCTACGCCTTTGAGGGGCCCACTAACACTTTTTGCATAGGGGCCCAAAAATCCTAGCTACGCCACTGCTCTGGTCCTATATACCTTCCTGTCTATATCATCATCATGTCTATACCACCACCATCATCATGTCAATAACACCGTTATGTCTATAACACCTTGATGTCTATATGCTCATTATCTCTATACCCCAATTTGTGTTATATAATCATCATAAATTTGCCATTTTCATGTCTATACCACCATTATCTCAATACGATACGACCAGTTTTTCTATATCATCATATATTTACCATCATCATTATGTCTATACCACCTTTGGGTCTATTCTGAAGCGTCAATGTCTAGCCAAAATGCTCATACAGATATACAACTAATCTAGTTTAATGTTACATTGCTGTATATAGCAAAGATAGCAATGGGATGCTACTCCACAGCAACACAAAATGCCATGAGAAGGAGACAAATAAAATGTTGAATAAAACTCACCTGCCCACAGCAGGCAAGACAACAGGGGGGGGGGCTCTTTTAACAGCATGCTTGTACAAGTGGTGGGGGGGGGGGCTCTTTTAACAGCATGCTTATAAAAGTGGTGGGGGGGGGGCTCTTTTAACAGCATGCTTATAAAAGTGGTGGGGTCCTGATCATGGTTTCTGTGAGACAGGAGGGGCGATCCTGGAGATGTGGTAAATATTTTATCTTGTGGTGGTAATTTTTTGGTGGGAAATCTTGTGGTGGTTAATCTTGTGGTGTGGTAAAATGGTTGATAGGTGGGTGTTCTTAAATTATCAAAGATAAGCCGATAGGCATCAACAAGGATGAGATATACGACATCACCCTCCCACCTCATGAGATGTCTCACATTACCCTCCTACCTGATTATCTCACATCACCCTCCCACCTCATGAGATGTCTCACATTACCCTCCTACCTGATTATCTCACATCACCCTCCCACCTCATGAGATATCTCACATCATTCTCCCACCTAATGAGATATCTCACATCACCCCCCCCCCCCCAACCTCATGAAATATCTCACATCACCCCCCCCAACCTCATGAGATATCTCACATCATCCTCCCACCTCATGAAATATCTCACATCACCCCCCCACCTCATGAGATATCTCACATCACCCTCCCACCTCATGAGATATCTCACATCACCCTCCCACCTCATGAGATATCTCACATCATCATCCCACCTCATGAAATATCTCACATCAACCCCCCCCCCTCCACCTCATGAGATATCTCACATCACTCTCCCACCTCATGAGATATCTCACATCACCCTCCCACCTCATGAGATATCTCATATCACCCCCCCACCTCATGAGATATCTCACATCACCCTCCCACCACATGAGATATCTCACATCATCATCCCATCTCATGAGATATCTCACATCACCCCCCCCCCCACCTCATGAGATATCTCACATCCCCCACCTCATGATATATCTCACATCACCCTCCCACCTCATGAGATATCTCACATCACCCTCCCACCTAATGAGATATCTCACATCACCCTCCCACCTCATGATATATCTCACATCACCCTCCCACCTAATGAGATATCTCACATCACCCTCCCACCTCATGAGATATCTCACATCACCCTCCCACCTCATGATATATCTCACATCACCCTCCCACCTAATGAGATATCTCACATCACCCTCCCACCTCATGAGATATCTCACATCACCCTCCCATCTCATGATATATCTCACATCACCCTCCCACCTCATGATATATCTCACATCACCCTCCCACCTAATGAGATATCTCACATCACCCTCCCACCTCATGAGATATCTCACATCACCCTCCCATCTCATGAAA